TTCAACATGAATACTCACTTTTCGAAAACATTATAGGAATAATTTTGTAAAAATGCTTTAAGAATGTTTTTAAACTTATATATAAACTGATTTCAAAACTTCTAATATGTAAATTGATTGTAATAATAAAAATTTAATTTTTAATCCTTCATTAATATCGGATTTATATAATTATAAAAAATAAATCATTAGCATCTGCTAAATGTATTAAAGAAATACATGTCTCGATCATTATAATGATTACACAAGTAGTAGTTTGAAATATAACTTCAGAACATAATGACTAAGGTAATATTTGTGTAATCAAATAAAATTAAAAATATTAATAATTTTATTGTAACCCCGTATCCCGGAACCAAACCAAAACTAATTTAGTCCTAGACTCAAATCCCGGACTCAAACTTCCATTCCTATCTTCCCATTTAACAATTAATAACTTTCTCTCTTTGGACTTCGCCTCCGCACTTCCGCTTAATTCCGCTATATTGTTTACAATTACAACTATTCCTTCCCAGACCTTCCATTATTCGTTCACGTGAATTCCTATTATCTCCACTTATTTCTAATCACTTCCCTTTTCCTTTCACATTAATTCCGATTATTTCCATTCATTTTCAATCACTTTCCCAGGCTTATCATATTTACAATCTCCATTAATCCAACTTGTTGACTATTGCCTATACCATTTTCCACTCCCCTTTTCCCAACTTATAAGGTTTTCATTCCCTCATAGAACCAGCTTATCCTCAGTCCAGTACAATCTCAGTTTATCTCATCCTCAGTCCAGTCCAATCTCAGTTATCTCATTTTCAGTCCAAACCAATATATTTCAGAACAATTCAATCTATTGTCCAATATCCAGTTCCTTCACTTGATTCATAGTCCAAATGTTTACTTCGTCCTCGCGCAAATCCTATTAATTCTATTCAGTCCTATAATGTCCAATTATCCATTTCACCTCCTCAATCCATTTTAGTCCATTTATTAACGTTCATTTCATAATACCAATTGTCAATAAAATATATATTGTTTGGTGAATTGGTTTAGTAAAGGGTAGGACCTCTGAAAGCCCACACTCGCACATCCACTGATTGATATCCACACACATCCACTCGAATCCCGAATCCATATCTTCACATTCCTTACCCCAATAACCAACATACTAACTGGTAGCACCGGATGGTGGTAGCACCGGATGATTCATAGTCCAAATGTTTACTTCGTCCTCGCGCAAATCCTATCAATTCTATTCAGTCCTATAATGTCCAATTATCCATTTCACCTCCTCAATCCATTTTAGTCCATTTTAAAACGTTCATTTCATAATACCAATTATCACCGCTTAAAAATAAAAAATTTTATAGTTTTTTGTGTTACAATAATTTTCAATAATGGTAAATAATGAGATTCTACTTTGCGAGTTTTACTTCAGTGGAGTGGGAAAACATGTAAATTTTGAGTAAATATTTTTTCTAATAGTGATCGTAGTCTCAACTAAAAAATTGAGCGAAATTGATAAATATCATCTTTATTTAAAAGTTATTTTCTTAGACGTGGCTGCCTGTTTGAAATGAACTTCAGCATTTGTTGTATTTGAGAAATTCAAATAATTTTTTTTCCAAATCATTTATATATTTTATTTCTAAATATATTATCATATTATTACAAAAAAATTGCTGATAAATAATTTAATTCTATATAAATTATTATGATCCCACTCGTACTTTAATAGTACCATACATTTTAATTATGCCATTATTATTATTGGTGGTTTTGCAAATTATTATTATCATATATTTTTATTTTTAAAATTAGGTATTAAATTCTGATATCTTTACCCCTGTACAAATTAATATTAACGCTAGAGCAAATTTTTAAAATGTTTGTTTTTAATATATTCCTTGTTCATTGCTATATTTTCATTTATATTATATATTTTTATTATTTTTGTAGAAATGTTGCTGATAATTTTTGAATTAATGCAAAAACTACAGTAGCTTTTACATATAATAAAATTTTATAACAGTAAAGTTTGAAATTTATATGTACTCGTCGAAATATGTCTTTATTTATTAATTATTTATTAATTTATTTATAAATTATTTATTAATAATTAATATTAAAAGTTCTAAAAGATAGGAATTCTGCAATCCATTTAAGAATTTTTCCTTGTATACCAATATTAAAAAGTTTTTGTAATAAGATATCATGTGGTAGAAAATGATTATTAAAATAAGTCCTGAGAAATTTATTAAATAAATGGCACATTTCGTATATATTTTTTGGAAAAAACAATCTAATTTCAAATAAAAAAACTTAAACAACAAATAACATTTTTGTGGCACAATTACAGTGTAGAAAAATTAAATAGACAAATTACAGTTTATTTTGCTTTTGTAAAATAAAAGAAGAAAATCATTTTTCAACATGAATACTCACTTTTCGAAAACATTATAGGAATAATTTTGTAAAAATGCTTTAAGAATGTTTTTAAACTTATATATAAACTGATTTCAAAACTTCTAATATGTAAATTGATTGTAATAATAAAAATTTAATTTTTAATCCTTCATTAATATCGGATTTATATAATTATAAAAAATAAATCATTAGCATCTGCTAAATGTATTAAAGAAATACATGTCTCGATCATTATAATGATTACACAAGTAGTAGTTTGAAATATAACTTCAGAACATAATGACTAAGGTAATATTTGTGTAATCAAATAAAATTAAAAATATTAATAATTTTATTGTAACCCCGTATCCCGGAACCAAACCAAAACTAATTTAGTCCTAGACTCAAATCCCGGACTCAAACTTCCATTCCTATCTTCCCATTTAACAATTAATAACTTTCTCTCTTTGGACTTCGCCTCCGCACTTCCGCTTAATTCCGCTATATTGTTTACAATTACAACTATTCCTTCCCAGACCTTCCATTATTCGTTCACGTGAATTCCTATTATCTCCACTTATTTCTAATCACTTCCCTTTTCCTTTCACATTAATTCCGATTATTTCCATTCATTTTCAATCACTTTCCCAGGCTTATCATATTTACAATCTCCATTAATCCAACTTGTTGACTATTGCCTATACCATTTTCCACTCCCCTTTTCCCAACTTATAAGGTTTTCATTCCCTCATAGAACCAGCTTATCCTCAGTCCAGTACAATCTCAGTTTATCTCATCCTCAGTCCAGTCCAATCTCAGTTATCTCATTTTCAGTCCAAACCAATATATTTCAGAACAATTCAATCTATTGTCCAATATCCAGTTCCTTCACTTGATTCATAGTCCAAATGTTTACTTCGTCCTCGCGCAAATCCTATTAATTCTATTCAGTCCTATAATGTCCAATTATCCATTTCACCTCCTCAATCCATTTTAGTCCATTTATTAACGTTCATTTCATAATACCAATTGTCAATAAAATATATATTGTTTGGTGAATTGGTTTAGTAAAGGGTAGGACCTCTGAAAGCCCACACTCGCACATCCACTGATTGATATCCACACACATCCACTCGAATCCCGAATCCATATCTTCACATTCCTTACCCCAATAACCAACATACTAACTGGTAGCACCGGATGGTGGTAGCACCGGATGATTCATAGTCCAAATGTTTACTTCGTCCTCGCGCAAATCCTATCAATTCTATTCAGTCCTATAATGTCCAATTATCCATTTCACCTCCTCAATCCATTTTAGTCCATTTTAAAACGTTCATTTCATAATACCAATTGTCAATAAAATATATAGTGTTTGGGGAATTGGTTTAGAAAAGGGTAGGACCTCTGAAAGCCCACACTCGCACATCCACTGATTGATATCCACACACATCCACTTGAAAGCGCAATTAATTAAAAAAAAACATAAAAAAGACTGTTATTAAATTTGAAACAGCAACCCTTATTAGATTATTCATACATAAGTCCTAACTCCTTATCCCTCACCTTAACCATTCAAATAGACTTTTTATATGAAATCGCCTCTGAAATTGAAAAAAAATAAAATTTGTTATTCCCAAATAAAATTCCATCTAATAGTTTTATCACCAAATTATAACCTTTGTATATCAAATCTTGAAAATTTTTTTTGAAATTTTATACCCATATGTTACTTCAAATCCCCTCCTAGTATCCATTAAAAATCCACAAAAGTAGTATATACACGAGTTTTAAAACATTTTTTTACAAAAATATTTTAAAAAACATTTTTTTAAAACATTTTTTTACAAAATATTTTAAAACCCCTGTATAAATAAATACTTGTGAGAATAAAATTAAAAATATTTTCATTCTCAAATTTTCCTACTATTAAAGATAACAATTCTTAAAGTAAAACCTAAACCTATAGGAAATAAACTAAATGAAAATAAATCTTATTAATTTTTATTATTTTTGGATTTTATATTTTTTAATAATTTTTTGTATTTGATTTTTATTATGTTTTTTTGTAATTTTATATTTTTATTATATTTTTTGTATTTTATATTCTTACAAATTTTTAATTTTAATACAAGGATGTCTAAAGGTTCATATTCTATATGGGTATAAGCTTACGGCCTAGGTAGAATGTAAGTTTCACCGATTCAATGACAAATGATTTTACAGCAACAACAATATCTGAGCATGTATCTTTTACAAATAACCAAGCAGAAGAAAACACACTTGGTTCGTGGTACACTACTGAAAATGTTGGTTTGTATATCTGTTTCCATTTTTTCTCTTTCTCATCGTAAATAAACCATACATGACCAGTCGGGGTCCAAGTTAAATTTGTGAAATTTGGTCGAGGGGGTAAATGTAAAACATGCTGGAAAGTGCTAAGTTTAGGCGTTCGTCGAAATAAGGATACTTTACCCTTTTCGACTTTCCATATTCTTCGATATTCACAGTATACATACCCGAAAATAAAAATAAAAATAATTTTATTAAACATTTTTCATTAACAATAATATGAAATAAAACATATCACTTATATATTTTCATAAATTTTCGGATTGTTCTACTGCTTCCAATACATCTATACATTCAATTGGGTAAAAATATTGATGTCTTCTACCTCCAGCAACACAAATAAGTGGTAATTGCGGATATGCAATATCAATTCGATGTCGAACATAAAAATATTGTCTTATTGTAACACGTAAGTATCCACGTAGTGCAAATATCTGATCAGCCCCCATTTTCGTTAACTTGCTTGGATATATTTCCATCTGTTGATGCTTTAGATGATTTGTGAGTAGAGCTTTCTTTCTAGGTTCAGTAAAATTTCTTTGACCAATTCCTGAAATGGCAACATCATCATTTGTCATGCTAGTAAGAGTCTGCAAGTAATTGATATTTTCATTAAACTTTTTCCGTAGTTCGCGATGAAGTGATTCTGGGGCACATCCTCCATTGAAACGACAAAGTATTTGAATAAGTGGTGTTAAATGAACTTCAGGTGTAGGACTTATAGGTTCAGTCATGTTGTCGCTAGTACGCATTTTTAATACAAACTGTTCTGTAATACATAACTATGCCTCTTATATACCAAGAGGGCCTTTAGCAAATCGAATACTAGGACAGATATATAAATATACATTAATGTTTCCAGACGAAATGGTTATGTGGATAAGTTAAGGTTAAAAAATTAGTAAAATTTGTGAATGAGCCGCTAAACAACGCTAGCATTAAATAGGGACAAAAGTTGGCGTTAAAATTTATGTTTTAGAGAGGAAAATAACAAATAATGAAAAACAAAAAACAAAAAAACAAAGTTTCAATAATTGGGGAATATCATTAAAAAATAAATATGTAAATAATATTTTTTATTAAATCATCTATCTAATTTTGATTATTTTTTTCAATTTTAAAATCATTTGCGTTTCCTTAACTATTTGAAGTTTTTCTTGCCTACAAAAAATATTTTAACTCAATTAATTTATTTAGAAGATTACTTACTTAACAAATCAAGTAACTTATTAGTAATAAAATATTAGTAAAATAATAATTATAGATTGCATTTTATATTATAACTTGATGTGATTTGAATGCATTGCAGAATAACCAAACATTGCCCAAGATTATTTCGCTTAAGTTTTTAACTCAGAAAAATTTTTTACAGCTAAGAAATTACCTAGAAATGCATAATATGTATAAATAGAGTGATATAGTTGTATACATACATTAATATTTACAAACAAAAATTACGAAAGACTTCTGTGTTTATTTGATTAATTAAGAAAATACTTTCGCACATATTGGTCTTACCCACTAAGAGTGCCAGTCTTGTCGCAGCGTTGTCTTTAGATTTTTTTATTTTTCAATTTTCCCTAATAAATGTATTTACTTTCCCAAATTCCCGTGCGCACATATTGGTCTTACCCTCTAAGGGTGCCAGTCTTGTCGCAGCGTTGTCTTCAGATTTTTGTAAAAAAGTAACTTATTAGTAATAAAATATTGATGATTGTAAGGTGATGATTGTTAACTGATTAAAATTTTTTTAGATTTTTACCTTTCTATTTGATCTTTTTATGTTCAAATTTTAGCAATATTTTAAATTTATTAATAATCTAATATTTATAAATCAATTTCTTCATTATCAACATAAGTATGATCATCATAATTATCAACATAAAATTGATTATTAAATTTGATATTGACTTAAAAACATTAATTGTTTTTTAAAGTAATTTTTAAAATAATTAGCTATTTTTGAAAAATATACCTTTTTTATAGGTTCATTAATCAACCTTTAGTAGACTTTCTAATTAATTAATATAGCGTTTACATAAGCTTGTTGATTGAAAAAATAAAAATGAATGGGGATAGGAAAAAGGTGTGAAATTAAATAAGAATTATCGCGACCGCGCCCTCCCCCTCCTACTTTTGTTTTATCTCATCTGCGGTTTCTAAGGGGACAAGTGGTGAACTGATCTCAAAGAAACGTTCCATTTGAGAAATAAACTTAATCTTTGACGGATCCGCTAAAATTTTAAAGAAATTTTCTGACTAGAAGAAATTTCAAAACCTGAACAATGAGTTTGTGCAAAATGGGACGTAAATAGGCAATAAATGTCCATATAAAACTTCATCCCTTATTAAAATTAATTTATTAAAAATCAAAAAGTTATTTAAGTTTTAAAAAGTTATTTAAGTAACTTTTTTAAGTAACTTTTTTAAAAAGTTATTTAAGTTTACGGAGATTTAAGTTAGGCTGCGAATTATATTCGATTATAATTTAACGAAAAGCAATATTTAATATTTATTAATTTATTAGAAGATGTTAGCTTATTTAAACAAAAATTGACACCAGGATTAGAATGTTTTGTTATAATTTTTAATATGTGTTTAGATTTAGTTATTATACAACTTATTATATGATTAGATTAATTAGTAATGTTGGTGTGATCATGCTATAAATGAGTTACACATAATTCATGATGAGTTACGCATGAGTTACACATAAGCTATTACAATGAGTCATGATTTAAAAAATTAATGAAGTTTATAATTGGAAGTTTATTATTTCAATCTTGTGTTTATATGAAGAAAATAAATTAATAAATCATTTAAATAAAAATTAAACTTGAATAAAATTCTATTAGTAAACATGTGTCAGAAAAAATTAAGACTTGGCTGTTTAGAAGAGCAATAAAAATACCTTTGAAATCGTTAGTCATCAACTAATGGATAGATTAAGTCTTAATATCGAAAACAACATTTTGTTCATAATTAAATCATTTAAATAACAAAATGTATATTAAATCAAAAGAAGAATAAAGATAAATAACATCTATAAAATAAGAGTTACTTTTAACATATTAAAGATTTTATAAATAATGGAATAGATTAATAACAATACTTTATTTAAATAACTGTATTTTATATAATAAATTGATAAAACAAATCTTTTATGGACTTTAGATTTAATTTAATATAATTATATTAATCGCAAGTACGCGAGAAATGAACAAATGATGTTTTATTATTACTAAAAGATTATACTAATTATATCTATCATTGATATTTAAATAATGAATGTTTAATAAGAATATATTTTTTTAACTTAAAAGACTTTATTACAATTACTATTTTTTTAAATGAATTAAAATAATTTTTATTTTGCTGTTTAGGAAAAAGTATTTTTTAAAGTAAAATTTAATTTCTATCTTTCACATTTATTTATATTTTATTATATTTTATATGAGAAGGAAAAAAGGGGTATGGCAAAAGAAAGAAAATTTTAAATGAAAAGAGAGTGAACATATTCTGAGAAGAGGCAAAAATATAAAAAAAGGAAAGATGTGCAAAAATAAGTTTGAGAAAAAAATGTTGTGAGCAAAGGCAATTTGAAAATAAAAATATGTTTAAAAAAGGTGCAACAATGTAAATTTATATGTAAAATAAAAGATGTGCAAAAATTTTTAATTAAATTAGATGGCTTCTTTTTGCGAAGAGAATAGATTGGGAATTAAAAAATTTAAATTTATTTTGAGAAAAAAATAAACGACAGATTTTTATTTTAATAAATTAATTAACTTCATTAATGTTTAAGCCTGTTTATCATAAACTTTTTATGTTCCTTTTTATAGCATTTAATCTCTATAAAATAGAAAAAAATTTTGGGGAGTAGGGCTGGTTTGGTTTCATTATTATTAATGTTAAAATTTTAAATAATAATAAATAAAATTCTTTGATTAAATTAAATTAATTCAATAGTTTAATTACCCAAGTTTAAGTTATTACTAAATATTCGTTTAAAAAAATTTTAAGATAAAATTTCACAATGTAGAAAATCTACTGGACTACATGTCTTGAGCAAAATTTTTCTTAATTGAATAAATAAATAGATAAAAAACAACAGTATTAATAAAATTATAACGAAATGCAAAGGCTGCGTCGGTCGACGAAAATTTTCAAATATTCTTGTATAAAATTTAAATAAACTAGAAGCGGGTTGCTTTTAAGACTTTTACGACATTATAATGTCAAAAAACAATTATTTATATTACAGAGACGATGAACATACTCAAAAAATAGAACGAACCTGGCGAGCTGCTAAATGTCAAAATAAAATTCATAAATCGCATTACAAATTATGCTAATTTAATAACCTTTCCTTTTTTCAAATCTAAATAATTAATATTCGTATCAAATATTTTTAAATAAAAAACGATATATTCAAACATTAATAAGCATTAATTGAAAATAGATTGATAAATAAAAATAGGTTAAATATCACAATTAAAGTTTTTAAAAAATATAATAATGCCATTAAAAATTCAGTAAAACACTATTTGTTTTATAAATAAACAATAATAATTCTAAACTCTAATAAAATAATTCTAAACTATAATACTTTTTAAAACGTTTTAGAGGTAAGATATTAAAGAATTAAGATTTAAAAATACTGAACATTTTTATTTAAATATTGTTGATTTAAGATTGTTGAATATATAGTTATTTTAAATAGATGTATACATATTTTGAATTGTTCGCCTATGACATTTAATGTTTAAAAAATATTATTTTCTTAATAGTAGGTGTTAAAGGATTCACTTTCATTATTTTGTACTTTCAATATTGTACAAATTGCTATAATTAATTGAGAAATAAGAAATAAACAAAAAATTTTGAGTCAAAATTACTTTTTTCTTATTGAATCTTTAAAAGGTTAATAATTTTGTATAAAAAAATTTTCAAAAAAATAATTTTTTTGTATTTTCAGCTGCTTTCACTCCTATTGCCTGCACATCAGAAAGAGCTTTCACTGTAATGAGAGAATCATGTTTGATATGATTTTCAATTAAAATGAAAATTTTTTAGAAAATTTTTTCTTGGAAAAATTTTTCTTGGATCATATAGATATTCAATTTTCATTTTCAGTTTTTAGCAAAATACATATAATTATGAAAACATTTAATTAACCAACAATTCGTAAGAGAGACATTTGGAAATATTTAATAGATTTAGATTAAAATTTAAAAAATTAAACAATCGAGTTGGTATACTAAAATTTCATCAAAAAAATTATTTTTAAAATTTAAATATTTTTAAAATAAAATATAATAGGTATATCATTCAAATATAATCCAATACGCGCTCAATAAATCAATTCATTTAATCAAATCCAGATTCATCAAGATTAAAAGAATAAGCAGTAAATTCTAATGATTTATTTAGATCTGGAACCATAAAAAATATTTTTTAACTTAAATCCTAAATATAATGACTTAGTTATTTCAATAATTAATTATAATTTTGTGGGGATTTACATATATGATATATTTAGTTCATTTTAAAAACTTAACGTAGAACTAACTTTTAT